CATTTGTCTCTGGAGTTTCATAAGTAATTATGAATTGGGTGCTGACAAAATATCGGCTTAAATTTATAAGACTTATTTGGCACATTCTCACTTAGATCATCTGTGGCTCAAGTGAGATACTCGTTTAAGGATGCGTCTTCCGTAGAGCAGCTCTCTCTGTTACACTTAATTACTGAAATCGGAAGATAAGAAGAGATTAGTGGTTTTGGATCATCGGTGTCTTCAGTCAATTTCCTGATATTATGAAGCTAAGTTTTAGATTTTAAGGTAACTAGTAAGGTTTAATAAGGAAGAAAAGTCATACAAACAGCCAGAAGAGCTTCATCAATTAAACTGACTAGGACATGTGTCATACATGAATTCTCTTGGTTTGAGCCATTTGGGGAGGCACAAACTGCAGGATTCTCAAACTTACTATTATTTATTCCAGGTGAAACATAAGGCCTCTACTTGGTCCCGTACCTTCACTTTGAACTGTCTCCACGACTGCCTACAAGCTTTCATTTCCTTCTCACATTACTTACCCCATGTCACTTTCGGAAGCCAAACTCGTTGATACCCATTCGCGTCCCACTCGATGGCCTGGAGTGTGATGTCACTTTTACGCTTCTTTAGTATTTGTACAATCCACAACCATTACCTACTTCATATATGTCTGGTGATGAATAGCTTGTTGGCTCGTTCTCCTCCTGTCAGAATATCTTCTTATGTTTTTCTAGTGGTCATCTGATCTGAACTTCTGTATAGAGCGAAGGAAACAGGTGTTGGTGAGAGGTTGCAGTAGCCTGTTAGAGATGCTTTTTGTGACCCCGTGCACCAGGCCTCACAACCATATAGAAGCCTTAACTTGAAAATTTGGATCTCGGTCTCTGTCCTAAGTGTTGTTTATTTCCACATTAACTCCAGAGTTATGAACGCATGTCATTTTCTTCCGATTTTAACTTGGCTTTAATATCCGAGTCACTTGTGGTTGAAACGATGCTTCACAATTCAAGTAAGCGAAAGAGGTGACTTCCTTTGCACATTTTCTTTTGATGGTGGCTGATGCGTGTTGATGTTGACTAGGTATCTCATCAGCTGAGCCTTCTGTAAGTTCATCTAAAGTCTTATCTTTGCAGCATTCTCTGTCAGTTTGTTGGCTTTTGCCTGTAGATCTTCAAGTTTATGCGACTTGAGACATTAGTCATTCTCGAAACAGATGTTCTAGGGTCTTTCTGTCAGTCCGACGTATGCTTGTCTACTCATTCCCCACAAAGACCTTTCCACAGTGCATAAAGTCGAGATAAAGAGTCCATTACTATTTTAAGTTCAGTTTGATGACGATGAGCAGTGTCGCGATTTCGTTCACTCATGACTTTTCCCGGCCGAAGCCTTGTATCTAAGGCATCTTTCAACATTTCGAGGATGGGGTGATAAGTAGCATGATTACTCGTCTTAAGTCGCCCTTCTCTAGCAGTTTGACAAAATAGCCTTTCTTCAAATCGGTAGTTACCTTTATTTTCTTCCACATCTTCAGGCACTAATGGTGTCAGCATGTCCGTGTTCAGTGCTTCTACCGGGACTCACCCTGGTCCTGCTGCTTTCCCAGCTCTTAGTCACTATATGGTTTTCAAAACATCTGCCTTTGTATTGGCGTTCACTGGCAGTTTTGTGTCTGATGGTGATATTTCTGGACGAGTTGCAGTTGGTGGTCAATTCAGGAGTCCTTTGAAGTGATTGACCCATTATCTTTCACTTAATGTTTGTTGATCTCTTGCCCGATATCGACCTGGTTATCTGGTAGTGATCTTAACTCTCTCTTACTTGCAACCTGTTCTGCTTCAGTTGCCAGTGTCATAAAATCGTCTTTCCTAGAAGTAGATTGAACTCAACTTTTGTTGTTCATCTTTGCACTGGTTCAACTTCTGTTTCACCATCCTCCTCTCTTCTGTTAGCTTTCAGGTGTCCGTAGAGAGCCATTCCTTTTCTTGCTAAAGCGGCTATACGAGTTTCCTTTCACATCACTTTCAGAAAAATCCACTCTTCTTACACACGAGTGTCCACGGCGATTTTGTTTAGTGCCTCTGACGCTTTCCAAACGACTGCAGTCCTTTTTGGCTTCCTCTTACAGTTTCTGGTTAATGAACTTGAGTTTTGGTCTCAAGCGTCCTTGCTTCTCTACTTTATTGAGATGGAGTTCAAATCTTATTTTTTTGTGTTCGTCTGGTGAAACTTTTGCATATCCTTGTGCTCGTACAAGCTGTCTCCATTCTCCAAACCAGTAATCCCGTAGATTTCTTCAAAGCCTTTTCCATTCTCGATAATTTCATCAAGCGACTTTCGACACGTAATGCGTTTTCTTCCTCTATTGTCTGCTCCCCATTTGTTTCATATCTTCCATTAGAATTTTAATGTCGCCATCCAGCTTGGGCCTCGTTCATTGCTGCTTGCACTTGGAGCTAGAAGTTCCTATAGACTGCGTCTGCGTTGTTTATAGGAGTATAAATTCCCTACCTTTGAGTTGAATCTTACTGTCATGACCCCTGGGAAGACTTGTTCCTAGTGCATAATAGCTTTCTGTGCTGTTGGTAACATCATGACAGTTATTGCCTCAGGGTATACACGGGTATTCTAGGAGGTACAGTAATCTCATACTTTAACCCCTTCACCGATAAATTAAAGCAAAATTGTATACGTCTCAATCGTCATCAAGTTAGACAAGATCTTTTGTTAGAAGATGGTGCTTGCTAGGAATATATGATGCATTTGGGAATAAACCACCCCTATTGTGTCAGGATTAATGGTAGTAACTGGCTTTCCGAACGTTGGCAGGTGGAAAACCTTCGAATACACGAGCCACGCTTAAGTTTCTCTTCTTTGACAGCTTGACAAAGAAGCCTTTCCTTTATTTTCGATTGGTTATAATTCGAGTGTCTAGACTTGTAAGACCCAGTTCCACTGGAGTCGCTTTGTCACGGCGAGATTGTAAACCATTCTGTTCTTGCCAAAGGTGTAGTGGACCTAGTAGCTAGGTAAGTATATAAACGCAATTAAAAGGAGAGAACAAGTACTAACAAATACGTATATATAAAATATTCGGTTCACTTAAGTTAATATACACAAAAAAGGGACTGAGTTTATTTGAAGAAAACTATAACAGTCACAAAATACACAAATTATAGACGTACGAAATTATAGGAATGTAATTGTCCTTCTCTTGATTATACAAATTCTCCACTACAACTTAGCGCTGTCAACCGTCGGAAGTCTCCACGTAGAGTAAGGCAGATAGGAGCGAAGTTCTCGAAGGGGATGTGTCAACCAGTGCGAGACAGCGTTGGTCAGCAGATGTGCTGGGCGAGCAGCCGGAGAGAGGGCGAACGAACCGTTCCTTGCGCGCGGTTCAAGGTTTCAGGTTGAATTCCTTCTTTTTTCCGTGAACATATAATTTGATATGTTTTCAGGTCGCCACAAAGGTCAGAGTGGTTGTGTCCGGTTCTCATGAAAACCAGTGTATTAAAAGCATACTGAAGAATTTAAGTGAGCAGTGATTGCACATAGTAGTTGAAAATGGTTTTAGGAAGTTAATTCGTTTACGTTTTCAAGAAACTACCGATTATTAATCTTTAGGAATACATAAAACTGGTCCGCCTAAAATAAAAGTAAATTTCTTATAGCTTTTTTACTTAAACACTTCCCATGAATTGAATATAAAGATAAATAAAAAATGTTAATTCAGTGTATGGTTTCAGTTGTCACTTTTATTCATCGAGTTAAAACAGTAGAGTTGTGGTACAGCAGTATAAGCACTCGACTTCCAACTTGTGATCCACAGTTTCTAACCTCATCCAATCTGTCAAGGTTCAGACAGTCATAGATAGGCTATGATCAACTGGCATACACTATAGGTACCTAGTTACAGATCGAAAATGTATGCTTTGTTGTGAGACCTGGCCATTGAAAGGCTTGAAGACACTGTCTGTCTTTGATCACATATGTTTGCTTTCTTCCTCCCGCGTCAGGTGACTTAATATGATGAGTAACATTGAGGTTAGGCGTAATGTCAGCTGGATAAGGAGATCCAGTCGATGAGGTTGTGAAGCTGCATCGATTGAGATAGACAAGACGTACGTTGTTCATGCCGAACCACCGCCTTCTTCATCGAACCATGCTAGCGGGCATAGAACTAGGTTGGGAAAGAGTTGGAGGTGGTCAAATCGAAACATGCCATCAATCCGTGAAGTGTTTGATAATTGGTTTAAGCCAAATAGTCAGGTGTAAACTATCTAAGTGGGGCCGTTGTGACTCTAGGAACCAGTGTCTTGGAACTGTTGGTAAAATGGTTCAAAATCGTTCTCAATGGCGCAGATGCACTCACTGTTTGTAATATTCCAGATTCATGAAAACCTCATGCTTTTCCATGTTACTATGCTTTCTTCCATACACTTTCTGCTCATTATAGTTCTTTTCAATTCATCCTACCTTTATGTGCTACATGGTACGTGACAACTTAGATTGACTCACTTCTGTGCAGAGTTCCACGTTGAAACTTACTCCGAAAGTCAGTATACTCTATTAAATGTTATATAAATAAAAAATAAGTGGAAATTTCATCTTTATTAATTATAATAAAGGAGTTTTGATATTATTTATCTCTTATCAGTCTAATCATAAACATTTAGTTCTTTTTTTTATTCCCTTATGTTCCTCGTGGAGCATAGGGCTTCAAGCTAGAGCCTTAAAGTTTTGTTAGCAGTGGTATATATTTTACAGGATGGGGTTACTAGTCTTATGCTCAACCTTCTCTCTTTACCAGTCTTATTACTGGCTTAGCAAGGTAAAGGAGTGCATCGGCCGGGGATCGAACCCCGAACCACATGAGGCGTGGTTGGCAAGCATTCTACTGCTGTGTCCCCGACGCACAAACATTTAATTCAGATTTTGTATATATATATATATATATATATATATATATATATATATTACATTTCCTCCTGTGTTGTTCTTATATCTTTCTGCAGTGAAAAGGCGAAATACTTCATATCAGGATTGAGGTTTTCCCTTACTCTACCTTCGAGTAAATCTTCTCAAGAGTATGATTATACTGTACAAAAAGATGTAAGTCATTATTACTATTATTATTATTTATAAATAAGTGTATTGCATGACTTATGCTGTTTTTTTGTATACTTTCTCGCATACTCATAGAGTTCTAGTTTACTAAGCAAAGTATTCGATGTTCAAACAATCAGTTATGCCATCCGAAGTATGCTTGCTGAGCAAGGCTTTACATATTAGACATAACTTATTATCTAGTTCCCTATTCCATATTTCATGCATTCCATACACTCATTATTATGCTGTAATTCTGTATTGTACGCTTAATGCTTTGGGAATATTATTGCCTAGCTGAATAAGTTCGCGTCATTACAATCACAGCATAATTAAGTTTAGCATAATGCAATGAATATTATTATTTTATTCCTGAAACTGTTAGTTAATATGTACTAACCAACATAATGACTGAATGGCTTCAACATAGAACTTTGCACAAAAGTGCAACAGTTCGAGTTGCCACACTCCTTAAAAAACACAAAGGAAGACAAAAGAGAGAAAACATGTAGAAAAGTTGTAATAAGCAGAAATGTGAGGGAGAAAGAATAGTAACATAGGAAAACGATCGTATCTCAGAGAGTCAATGCATCTGCATCAACGGGAATGATTTTCAGCCATATCATCCAATTGCCTTCAGCCTTCATTGGCTATTAGCATCCCGAGGACCTCAGCCAGGCAGTCGACGTCCCTGTGCGTCGCTCAAACTAACTGTTAAAGATATCATGGACTGACTTCATGTTTTCGTTTGACGACGACTATCTTTTTTCCGACCTGATCTCATGTCAGCTAACATTACCCGTCGAGGAATGTCTACGCATACGTAACACGTATTCTAGCTATCTCAGTTGATGTAGCTTCCCAACCTTATCGATAAGTTTCTCCTCCTTGCCTAACACTCTATGCCTAACTTCAATATCATTCACCCTAATATACCATTTGTCGTGGGAGACAGAACTCAGACACTTAAGATCAAACACAGCTAGCCTTTCTTATCTCATATTTTCAATTGTCATGTCTCAGTCATAAATGAAGACGGAACGAACTGCTAAGCAGTACACACGTTTTTTGGTCGATAGCCAGTCTGATGTCACGTCTACGCCAGAGATGGCTTAAGTCGGCGAATCCCACACGAGACTTCTGTATCCATGGTGAGATTTCGTTAGCGATCAGCCTGTTGTAACTGATGCACCTTCCCAAATAAGTAATGCGGTCAACACGCTCAGCCACCACTTCACTCCCTATTTTTAAGCTAGGAGTCAATGTAGTTCAGTCTTGCAACATCATCTTACATTTGATGGGAGCGAATCGCATGCCAAACATTCGAAGATTGCTGCTCGAGGTGTTCAGCAGACTGAATTTTTTCAGCGTCTTCACCCACAAGGACCATATCATCCTCATATTCTAAGTCCACCAAAATAATGATTTGAATTGTAATGTTGGTCAAATTATATTTATCATAGGATATAAATTACTTGATAAAGGATGTATGTGGATACATGGCTCAATGGCTTCAGCACCTGCAGGTGTCGTGTTCGAATCCTGTAGAGCCACACCTACTACTTCATTTTTAGGGCAACTAGTTAATAACATCAATCCGCATACAATAAGCGTAGCACATAGTCTGGTACATAAAAGGGTCCTGTCCTAGGTTACTCAGCTCAACAAGTAAAGGGGGATATGCCCCCTCTCACATTTTCCTTTCTGCATCGGTGACACAGCGGTTAGGACTCTCGTCGACCATTCACATGGTCCGGGGTTCGACACCCTGCCAACGCACACGTGATATCTATGGTCGGCCTGCAAAATTTGGGCTACCGATATCACATGCTGAAAATCCCATACTTGTACCAAAAAAAATACTGTGTGGTTTCAAGCTGTAATCAAAATCCTTTCACCCAACCGGAACATGAATTATATATATGTATATATATATATATATATATATGTATATATATATATTTCTGAGATGGTGTCACCACCTAGACATGAGATTATACTAGATTTTCTTTTTAATGTAATTTATTCAGCATATTAATCAGTGCCAAATGAAAGCAACCTTTCCTAATGGGATTGATCACAACTTGAACAGTGTTTGCAATGACAATCCACAGTCATCATATATTGAGTTGTCAACCACTAACTCATCTACAATAAGCCAGAACTATTCGTCAGATTCACTTTCAAATCGTATGTCAGGTAAGTTAACTTCGTAAATATTACCTAAATTCATATAAAGAAAGGTGTTATTTGTGGTTTCTAACTGAATGCACATATTTTATATGTCATCCATTTTACCACCATGCATATTTTTCAATACACATCATCACAGTTGGCTTAGTTACAAAATAGATTTCCATTTTTTATGGATTCTGAGTGTATTAGTGGGAGAAACGATTTGTTGACTTAACTGTCGAGTCTCGAGAGTAAATCTCAATCCAACGCATTTCAACTGCAGTAGTCTAGTAGTATTGTAAGACCTCACAGGTTATATATAGTTAACTAGCTAGATCACAGTCTTGCATGGGATTGGTACTTATATTTCCTAATGCGAAGATTTTGTTACGGATGTGCAGAATGGAAAAACAAAATTTTAGAACGTTCATTCATGGATGTTCTGAAATATTCGATCAATTATCCTAATATTACTATAGAGGTTGTTGTTTAAACTCAATTGCGTAGAAGAGATCTTTTGCACACCAGACTATATGCCACACTCTTTGTGTACGAAGACTGATGATACTAACCATTTCCCGCTAGGCTTTAGTAGGTGATGTTGGGATTCAAACCCTGGAACCTATTGATTAAAATCAAGTCTTTAGGCCAGTGGGCCACATTTACACTATTGAGGTAGAGTTTCATGCGCAAGGTGTATTGTTGTCTGAAGTATATTGATAAAACGAATTATTAATTGTAGTATTGCATATGTTCACAGTCCGTGCAGGAAGATATAATGTAAGCCACTAAAAGGCATTATACAGTTCATGAGAGAATGATTCAGTTACTTAGTTGATGTCTACAAGACTATTTATATGTGTAATTGGATGATATATATAGAATCGTTTACAATAACACAGATATCTATTCGCAGCCAATCTTCATGTTAGCCCAAGCATTCGATTTCCTCATTCACTTTACCCTTTCGCACTTCTTCCTTATGATGTCATAGGATTTTCGTGTACTGTTTTCACTATCTACCATCCCGGTTTATTTTATCGTTGATAATATCTCTCCCTTTGTATATAATTAAAATTTATTGTTTTAGGAACCTGTAATGGATCTTGTGGAAAATCTGTGTCTACATTTATCCCTGTAAGTAACTATATTCAGTGTGTTAAGATTATTATTATTATTATTGTTACTTTTCAAACTATATACGCATTGCTATTACTACCATTATGAATAATTCTTCTCTATTGTATATTACTTTTCCTAGTTTGTCTGTTCTCCTACTGACAATAGTCACATATCCCACATATATATGCCTTAGCTGGTGGAAATGTGGCTCTTTAATTCCTTCATCCAGATATATATAATTGAATTTTTGGACTCTCTGGGACAGTCTCGGATTATACAGACGGCTATTGAGTTAATGGGTGATGATGTTTATTTGAATGTGTAACAACAATCTGGATAGCGACAGAATTCGAGGCAGTAGTCTTCGAATTACTCCAGAATACAAGACTGGCAGTCTGCCAACCCAAGGCTATCTCAGTTTTATTATTCAGTTATTTATTTATTTCAGCACAAACTTCGTACAATGTGAGCACCAATAGATGTGCCACGTAAAAATAATAAAACAACAATTTCAGGGACATAAGAATAGAGGAAGTGAAGGACAACATCCAGAGAGCAAGTAAGCATACTTATCAAGAGCATTAAATGGATGCTTTAGTACTGTATGTTACTTTCAGAAAGGGTGGAAAGGAGGAAGTTGCAGTATGTTTGGTATTGATCACGATTCTCAGATATATCTCGTGACGTCTTGAGCCACTAATTCGAATGGCCTCTCAGACCCCATCCAGAGAGTTGTGGTGTGCTAACATATGCCAGTCTAACACAAATCTCCTTAATCTCACGGTGCCACAACATAAGCTGGCCAGTCATATGCTTTTTCTATCCAGTCCTAAGGCTGGAGAACAGGGAGTGGGTGGTATGAGAGCCACTGGAATGACATTCGTAGCACATGCCCAAGCCTCCGAAGCCGTTGCTTCCAGATAACAACACTTTTTGGAGGTCGATTTCTTTGTGTTCAGATACACGCTGCCTGACCTTAGAATTACGTTGTGATGTCACCGGATGCAAGCAATTCTACAAAGACGGCGATAATTGAATACAGAGTCACTACACATCCCCAATTCATAGCAACCAGGTTTAACAGGAATAAGGGGAGACTGCGCTCACTGAAACATTGTAAAGCCTACCTTCCACAGGCAGGTTAACGTCGTGATGGTGTCAGAAGTGACCCAGGTTAAAGATCTCACCCGTCATACCAACGCTCACACAACCACCTAAATACCCTAACTCATCGATAACTTCAAGGTGTTCACCTTCGAAGTGAGTACAGGTACACACTCTGCAAATCTCGCAACAGCACTCCACAATAGTTAAGTGATATTTGGGCAGTCTGTATGTTATTGCACAGTACATGATATCGTATTCATAGTCCTGCTCAAGAATCCTTCAGACAGTACATATGTACCACCACCATGCACATTTGGCAGAGCTGTCTCCAGCATGTAAAGGTGAAAAGGAATGTGGAGATCGAATAACCTTTTCTAACTCCATTGTTGGTAGAGAACTGGGATGATGGCTGTCTGTATGTGCCCTCACTGTACCGGTAATGTTCCTCTATACGGTTTTGTCGCTGTTAATCAACTCCTCAGGAGCACTTCTCCATAACAGACAGTTTCAGAGAGCAGTTCTGTCTAATGAATGTAAGGCAGTCCCAATATCAAGAAATACATTTATCATTAGCCGGAAATACGTATGATAGTGTTCTGGTAGCTAACGGTGGATGAACACGTGACCAGTGGATTCACGGCCTGAGCTTAATCCATCCCGCCCTTTTTGCGAATCAGTTCCTCACGCGTTTTACACAATCTACTAAGCAAGGCAGCTTATAATATTTTGGACGCGACCGTTAACAGACTAATAACACTATGATGGCCTCATGCATATTACTCAGACCTATTTTACAGATGTAAACCACAATCATTTCACTCCACTTTGATAGAACGTATTCATCTTCCCATACTTTCTTGAACAATCCAGTAAGTTGCTTGACTAGAGTCTCACCGCCATCTTTAGAAGTTCTCTGGGCCAGGTGCCTTGTTGTGCTCGAGTAATTGAAGATCATTTTACATATCCGTTTCACTTTGTGAACTATTATTAACCGAAAATGAGGAACTGTAGCTTATAAAGATGGGTACTGGCTCTACTAATCACCTAAACTGCTTTTCAGAGTACTCCAAACAGATTTCCAGGTGTGTCTTTAGATTATCAATCTGCCTCACACGCCGTCTCGCTGATATCATGCTTCTTGCTGCTGGTGGCTCGGATGAGTCGGAACAGCTTTAGACTGTTACCAGATGCAGCTGCTAACCCTCTCTCTTACACACACACACACTTTCTGACCACCAGGGCTTTCTATCCTTAAGTAAGCAAAGTTTGGTCTCGAATGTGAAAGCCTTGCGCATGCTGTTATACTCACTATCCACTGGAATGTATTGACAGGCATCAAAAAGTTTTAAAGAGTTAGCGGAAATACTGGTTCTTAGCGGAATATTCTTTTCAGCCGTAGGCAGCTTTACTGGCCATTTTCACGTCATCTTGTAAGTGCTTCCAATATTCGTCTGTAATATTTGTGGGCCTAGTAGCAAGCCATAACTCTAGCTCAGTGACGTGTTCACATTTTATCTCATTAGTGTCTGTCAGTCAGACAACAAATCACATGTCACATGATGAGCGTCAACCAATCAGAATCCAGCATCCTGTTAACACCTACTATTCAAGTCTTGTGACTGAATCAATGTATGTCATATACTTTTGTAATCTTGGTTACTTTGTCTCTCACCTGTTTTGGAAATACACGTTTCCGACCCTTTTGTGTCAGTCTTCTGGAATTTACTAGTTCGGGTCGGAGAATAATCGAAAAGGAAAAGCGTTAATTATTGTCATTAAGCATTAATATTCACACTCGGCTACATCATAACAATCATTGGGACACTTTGCAGAGTCAGAGAATGCTACTAGTGTACTTACGTCAAACTGTTGAGGATGACGTTTCTGGTCATCGCGAAATCGCTAGATGAACCTGACACACAGTAAGGCATGATTACAATTCAGACATACGTTCCAGAAGGAGTAGCAGTCCTGTACGTACGTACCCACCCCATCGTTAGCTGGTAGTAACGTTATCTGTCCGAGTCCATGCTTCAGTGGCAAAGGTGGACGCCATATAACCCTCTGGCTATGGCTTTGCAGGAATTTGGTTTCGGCTACATGTAGGTTGCAATCTGCGCAAAGCTGCAGATGATGGTCCCCTTTATTTAACCTGCGATCATGTAATCCCCACTGACACCACCTAAATGACTCTTCTCTAAGTTTAAACACCGGACTTGTGTATTTAAGTTCCCATGTAGCACTGCGATATCAGTTGTACGCAGATGATTCAAAAGCCCCCTCGTAATTGACAGTAGAATTTATCCCTATCTTCATAAGGACTGCAATTCGGTGGTGCATAGGCGGAGATGGAGCTCTTCTGACCAGAGTTCTTAAACTTTGATATTACTTTCTAGTCTTATATAAACCGTTGTTAATTGATACTCATTCAAGCAGTGTAGCTTTAGCTCTGGCGCTCAGTGCGACACCGACAAAGGCAAAGCCCGATGTCCATGTCAAAGGGTTTCCGGATAGGGGCATGTGGTACATGCTTTTCGAACTTGCACTTTGAGAGAATATTCAAAGCACTTCACTGAAATATTGTTTTTGCGTCTCAGACATGTGACAAACCTTACAAGCAAATGTTCACCATTAATCATTGTTTTATTGGTGACGAAATCACAGCACGGATCCAGAAAGCTCGGGCTGCTTTCGCTAACTTACACCGTCTCTGGCGTAGGTGTGACACCCGGCTGTCAACCAAGGGACGTGTATACTGCTCAGCAGTTCGCTCCCTCCTTCTCTATGGCGGTGAGACGTGGCCATTGAGAGCGGAAGACATGAAGAGATTGTCTGTTTTTGACCACAGATGTTTACGATCTCTTTCTCGCGTTAGGTGGTATAATAAGGTAAGTAATGTTGACGTTAGGCGTAGAGTGTTGGGCAGAGAGGGAAAATCAATCGAAGAGGCTATAAAGTTACATAGATTGAGATGGCTAGGTCACGTGCTGCGCATGCCTAACCATCGCCTCCCCCTCCCGATGGGCTTTACTAGCTGATATAGGTGCAGGTTGGAAAAGAGTAAGTGGTGGCCAAACAAAAACATGGCCTCATCAACCCATGAAATCCCTGACAGTTAAACTGAGTCAGTCAGGTAGGGAGGGAGATGCAGACTTCCGGGTTGGGGCCCGCCCTCGGGACTCTAAGAATCAATGGCTGGAGACAATAGGTGACATGGCTCAAAATCGTTATCAATGGCTTATGCAGATGTATTCAGTCTCTGTAATCTTCAGTCTCATATTCCTTTCTACCATTAGTCATTCTGTTTCACTCTTATACTTGTCAAAACTCTATTGATTCTCTTCACTCATCTTCTTGTCTACCTTTGTGTGCTATTTGGAAGGTGGCAACTGGAACTGCTGCACTTCGGTACCAAGTTCTATGTTGAATCCAGCACCAGCAGCATTGTTTTATTATTTTCGCGAAGGATAAGTTGGCCTCTGAATGTCCAGACCGAAGGAGGTACATGTCTTAAGGGATCAATCTCCGAGTCTTCGACTTAAAGTCTGATCAACAAGGCAGCACAACGGCATTGGAACTTGTGTTACCGTGGTTGCCGATATCTAAAATTGGTTCGTAAACCGTTTGACCCTTTCGGATTTTGGAGTCCAGGTGTATTGTATTTTAGGAATCGTGGTTCCTCAGCTCCTTTTGTGGAAATCCGTCTCCACCAGTCCGATTATAAGCGCAAAATATTCACTTCCGCCTTCGTGAGAACACCCTCACCTCGCGAAGGCAGTTATTAGGACTTAATTGTTAAAGACTATGAATACCTCACCACATTCTAGCCTTTTTTAGAAGGCAGGAATCAGCCTATCCACAGCCATACTGGGTCCTATCTCAGATAATCTGATCATCAGTTAACAATCTGCTTCTCTCCTAACTGATTACGCTATTAGGATTGAAAGATAATTTAGTTGCTCAGCTAGCTTTGTGATGTTAAACTGAAGCTAATGTATCCGCCATTCGCATGAACAGTTGGGCAATGCACGTTATGATCGCAGTGAAATGACAACTTGGTTAACAATTGAATCTTATAGCTCAACTGGTTGAGCGTCGAACTAATAACTCCGAGGACATTCGTTGGTTTGAATGCGCTACCATGAGCCAGATTTTCATCTCACCACCTTCGATTATCACCTATCATAATATTGAATTTCTTTATATTCTATCCAGTGAAAAGAGATCATAGTTTAACATTACTTCGTGTAGATTTGTTTGTTTGTTTGTTTGCCATTTTTGATTATTAGTTTAAATTTAAGTAAACTTTTAGAAATATAACATGATAGTTTATACTATTGACTGATTTGAATAGTAGGGAATCACTTGTGTTAAGCAGATTGAAGGGATTTAAACACTGTAGCCGTTTAGCACTGCGGAGGTCACTAACAGTGTAACTCAATGCAGACAGCTAAATCAGTTTAAAGCATCCATATTCCGACTAGCTCGTTGTGTCAACTAGCAATACGTAGTGTCAGGTTCGTTATTTACAAATTCTACAGTTCAAGGTAAAAGCTCACCACAGTTTCCTTTGGAAACAAAGAAATTTTTGAGATCACAGTATCTTATCCGCTTCATACGATAAGAGATAATGAAGAAAGCAAGTGATATAAGATTATAGTATATTACTACCCATAGATATGGAGAGTTGGAAAGTACTCATGTCAAACAATAGTTCTTACTTTTCATCCCTTTGCTTTCCGAGCGCAATATAGGGCTTCAAGCCTTAAGCTTTGAAGTGTCAGTGGCTTTTGTGTCGTTTGTACTGATTGGGATTTTGGCCTCACTTCCAGCCTGCCCTCCTTTCCAGGCTTGCTACCGGGGGTCGAATCCCGGACAGTATGTGTGGCTGATGGACATTCTACTCCTAAAGTACCGACGCGCTTCAAGCAGTAGTGTCTGCATATTCTCATTTTACATTTACAAACGTCTATATGATTATAGATATTCTTTTGTTACAAAAAATAACATTTTTTTCATCCGTGTTCTAACAGTTATAGATCAATATTTGTTTTTAAACTTCTTTTACTTTTAGTTAAATGTTTCCACTGGAAGTCGAGAAAATCATTTTTCTCAGTCTATCACATCATTAAATACTGCTGTATTAAACAACGGCAATAATCATACTTCTAATAATAATAATAATAATAATGACAACAACAGCAATATTAATGTTCATCAAGGGAAATACAACTATGGACTAGATTCTGCATGTAATAACACAATGAATTCTACAGACTCAACAACTTCAATTCATCCCAAAGTAGTAAACAGCTGTAATAATTATAATAATAATAATGACAAGGATAAAAGTCAGCGTAATTTTTCAAACACTCTGACACCGTTATCATCTACATCACCATCATCGTTATTGCCCTCAACGCATTTACCAGTGAAAAGTACAAATTGTTCATCTGAAAAAATTGTTAAATCTACTCAAGAAGATCAATTATTCGCATGTGAAAGTAATTCATGTCACAGTAAACTGGATTCATCACCTAATCACTTACTTTCATCTGATTCAGTATATTTACCATTAGATTTATCAAAAAATAGAACGAATACTAATGATGATAATAAAATACAAAAGTTGCCAGGAAAGAATACAGTGGGAAAGCCGTATAGTACAGAAAAACATGAATCGTCAAGATTATCACCAAATGATACATTATTATCTTCAAGGAATTTTATTCCGTTAAATAAGTGAGTTATTATTTCTGTAATGACGTTGGTTGGTTGTTAGTATATATAAATATGCGTTTTCACACCTAATTAATGAGCAGTGGTGTATTATTGACCAATAGATCCCTCGGGATTGAACCCCTCTTCACTGCACTTCAGTCTAGGGGACAGCTGAGGTAATAGTATTGTGGTGGTAGACGATAAAAGACTTAGTAAAGGAATGTTTATTTGGAATTTGTTATCGCTATGTGGAGAAGTTATGTGCACCTTAACTTCAAGTTACCATTTGCACAGATCTTCCGTGTTGTGCTTCTCCTATTCTTCATCTTGTGATCCTTTCACGTCTCGCATGTTTCTCCGCAATGCTGAATCATTTGCTGTCTTTGATGTCAAATCTACCTCTCTGCTATTTGATACTTTTATGCCGATAAACTTCTCTTTATGTACTGTTTATTAATAAATTTTATCAGTAGCACACGCACAATAATGCTGTGGCACATAGTCTGGATCCCGGTAACTGAGTTCTAACTAACTGTGCAATTAGGTTGTAGTTGTTATCTTTTGTTTTGGAATTGTCCAAACAATGAAAAGGATATTAGTTTTGTCTTTTTGATTCTTCATACTTCATATACAATATCACTTTACACAGCTTTGTGTTATGTTGCATCGATAGAGAGAGAGAGAGAGCTAGAACATATGCTACGCATTCTGAACCATCCATTTTCTCAACGAACAATGTTAGCTGACCATAGAATAGAAAGAGACTTAGTAAAGTCAGACTAAAATATGCCATCAGTCTATTTAGTTATTGATTGTTGGTTTTGGTCGCGGTTGTGGAGAAAAAGAAAAAGAACTATGGAAAGCAGAAATTTTCAGGAGAAGGAATTGTTAAGTGGAAAAACGTGAGAGTTTAATAGAAACAGAAGATCACAAGGAGTGAATACATTTGTATCATTGTGAACGACTTTGAGCCATATCACCAGCAGTCTCCAACAATTGGTTCTTAACATCCTGACGACCTCAGTTGAATAGTCTACATTTCCCTGCGTGGCTCAAAAAAAAAAAACACTTTAAGGTTTGATGTTTTTTACACGCTGACTAATTGTATAAAGATTTGATGGATTGATGCCTTTCTTAAATTTTTTATTCCTTCACGTTCCCAGTGAAACATAGGGCTTCAAGCTAGAGGCTTGAAGTGTCTGTAGCAGTGTTTATTTTTACAAGATGTGGTTGCTAGCCTCATGCCCAACCTTTCCTCTTTACCAGCTTTTTTATTTCTCGCTTAGCGACGTAAAGGAGTGCGTCGGCCGGGGATTGAACCCCGGACACTTTGCATGGTCGGCGAGCGTCCTAACCGCTGTGTCATCAACGCACTTGTTTAGATTTAATCACCCTTAACTCTTCTCCAACCTCCTCCCGTGTCAGTTAGCATTGTTGGACGAGCCAAGAGATCCTGACTAATTTATTGAGCAGACTAATATTACAATGTAATTATTTCACTGAAAAGTACGTGAATCTAAGAGTCGTTTCAGCATAATTTCCGGTGAAAAAAAAGCAAGAAGAAGCTAAGTGATCCCATTAACTTTCTATGTAATATAGCGCACTCCATGTTTTAACGCAACACTTCTCCATTAACGTGTGGATTTTGAATACCTATCAAACCCTGGTGCATTAACGAAGTTAGCTATAGGTGATTTAATCAAGAGTATAGTATCCAATTCTTTTGTGTACAACATTTGCGAGTCACTTAGCTTAACTGCCATGACTCAAGTTTGACTGATGAAATTTAATCAGCACAGACAGAAAAAGACCAGAATCATCATATTTTTCACGCTCTAATGACCACTAAAAGTAACTAGGTGCTACTTCGAGATGTAGGCATAACTGTAAACTCTTGGATTCAATTCCCACTGGATTGAAACTTTATAACATATAGCGTGTCATAGATGTGGTGTGAAGTAAATTTATTCTTTGGAAGTGAGACAATTTCATTTCTGTCGCTTTACTTGAATAACTAATCCAGTTTGTTGATTCCCTATTTATGGCATTAAATTGTCCTTCAATATTTAAGTTGATACTGTCCTCTATTCCTTAGAACTATTCATCGTTCACATTCACCAACAAATTCTTTGCATAATTCAAAGGCCAATGCAACCTCAAAACCCCTAAAAGAAAGCCTTATCGACGGTGTCCATTTAATAGTTGATGATGACGATAATGATGATGGTGATGATGGAGGAGAGGAAGAAGAAGTAGACGTATTCACGGAAGGAACTGTTCAAACAACAAAGTTAATTCATCCCTTGGAAGACGATTTACAGCTTCAACCTCAAGAAAGTAATATAACTCACCAAAATGGGAGTAGTCATGTCAACATGGGAAAGCCATTGATGAACAGTAATTATGATGATAATGCTGGCTGTCAGTATTCAAGTTCAATACTTCGGAAAGATTTCAAGTCTTCTGAATTATGTTCAAGTTTGAATACAAATCAAACGAATGAAAATTCACATGATAATATCATCGCTACGTAAGTTTTCTCTCATTGCTGGATATGTCTGTCTGTTTACGACATAGACCTTTGCACCGATGTGCAGCAGCTCAAGTCGCCAAACTCCATGTAGCACACAAAGCAAAAGAAGAAATGCATAATAGAGACAGTAGACACGGATATGGTACAAAAGGAATACTAATAGCGAAAAATAATATAGTTTCATTGGGTACTACAAGTCACAAGGAGTGGATGCATCTGCGCCAGCCATGAAGAACGTTTTTGAGCCATATCATCGATTATCTCCAGCCTTCATTGGTTTTTACCGTCCCGAGGACACCAACCAGGAAGTCTACATCTTCCTGCGTGGCTTAAACTAACTGTTGTGGATATCATTAACTGATGAAGCCATGTTCTGGTTTGACCACCACTGGCTGTTTTTCCAACCTGATCCTATGTCAGGTAATATTGACCGTCGAGGAAGGCAATAGCTAGGCTAACATGCATAACACATATCCTAACCATCTCAATCGATGTAACTTCCACTCCTCACCTAGCACTCGATCTAAGCCTAACCTTAATATTGCTCACCCTATTATACCACCACTTAACACGGGAGCTAAAATGGAGACACCTATGATCAAAGACAGCTAGCTAGCCTTTTCATTTCCTCCACTCTCAATGGCCAGGTCTCTCTCACAGCCATAAAGGAGCGAACTGCTGGGCAGTACACACGCCCTTTGGTCGATAGCCGAATATCACATCTGCGCGAGAGACGGCGTAAACTGGCATACGCGAAACAAGCCTTCTGTATCCGTGCTGAGATTTCGTCAGCGATCAACCCGTTGGTACTGGCTGATGCAGCTTCCCAAATATGTGAAGTGGTCAACGCGCTCTACCACCTCACTCCCTTTTTCAAAGCTAGGAGTCAATGTAGTCCAGGGAAGGGGACCCGTGCTGGGCAACTGAGATATAACAACACATGAATCGCAACGATTAGTATCGTTATTTCCTCGGGTTCCGAATAAAGCATAGGGCTTCAGCAGCATACTCCCACTTCAATTGCTTTTCTCCCATCACTTCCGGCTGGCTCAACGACTACCCAAAAGCTTTCCTTTCTTCTTGTCATGATCTTCTTTATGTTACTTTTGGATGTTTAACTCGTCGATTCCTACTCGGGTTACACTCGACATCTGGCGTGCAATGTCACCGAAAGGTCTTCTCAGCATATATTCAGTCCATCTCTGCTCGTTTGTTAGGCTGTAGTTTACTGTTTTGGTTCGCTATCAAAGTCCCCTTTTGCTTGTGCTTTCTTACGGTTCATCTGATCTTCAGTATGGAGCAGTGGCAGCTGTTGACAAAAGCAACCAGCAGCCTTTTGAGAATGCTTATAGTGACACGCACCAAGTTTCTGAACCATATAGAATCACTGACTAGTGTCGAGAATTTAGATCTTGTGTCTTACCCTGAGTGCGGTAGATTTGCACCGTGATTTCGGCGTACAGAAGCTGTGTCTTGCTTTTCTGATTCTGGCTTCGACATCCTGATCTGTAATATTTTCAAATGGTCTTTTTAAAAAATAATTGGTTGTAATCAACATTGACGTGTGTACTGCTCAGAAGTTCTCTTTGTCCTCCTTGACGGCTGTGAGACATGGCAACTGAATTTGCTGGACATGAAAAGGCGAGCTGTCTTTGTCCACAGATGTTTGCGTCCCATCTCGCGAGTTAAGTTTTATAATATGATGAGTAATATTTAGGTTAGGCATAGTATTAGCTAAGAAGGGTTAATCAATTTATGAGGCTGTGAAACTACTTTAGATTGAGATGGCTAGGACATGTGTTGCAAATGACGAGCAAGGTTAGCTGACAAAGGATTAATTTGGAAAAGAGTTATGGTTGATCCTTCGAAACGTAGCATGAGTCACTTAAGGAGGTTTAGAGTGCCTGGTTGTCTGAGGTCCTCGGGATTCTGATAACCAGTGGGCTTTAGTCTAGTGGTGGTGTGGCTCAAAATCATTCTTAATAGCGCAGATGCATTCACTCTTTGTGATTTTCCATATCCATTAAATCTTGTTGTTTTTGCATGCTGCCACTTTTTCTCGCATAAATTTCTACTCAAAACAGTTATTTTGAATTTATTTTTTCTCTCTCACGTTTACATTTACATTGTACGCGGAGTGTGGCAACGTGAACTAGTACACTTTTGTTCAAGGTACTATGCTGAAACTCAGGCAGTCAGTGTAACAAATATGCTTCCATATTATTCCATTGCATATAATATATAATTGCATATATAAAAATTGAAAAATCCTGGCTATCCACGATAGCCATCCCATACCGAAAGGACAGAGCTGAACAACTTCAATGACTGTTTGCCTCATATAATATTAAAGTCTATGTCAAACCTTCTAATTCTTTAGAGAAAGCGTTGGTGCATGTCAAAGATATATTTCCCAGAATGTCACAAAGTAATTGTGTCTACAAGATAGTGTTCAGAATGTGATGCATGCTATATAGGGGAGAGCAGTAGGCAGGTGAAGGTCAGAGTGAATAAACATAGACTATGCACGAAACGTCCACCTAGAAATAAAGTAGAACTAAAAAGTCTAGAAAAAAGATCGGCTATAGCAATGCATGCTATAGACAGCGGACACAAGATTGATTTCGACAATGTCGAAATTCTTGGAAGACGATTTCATTCACATAAAGAAAGATTGACTTCTGAAGCCTTGCACATCTTAACCACATCGAATGCAGTGAATAGGAAAGATGGGATAGACTTATCACCTATATGGCAAACTCTTATGAAGCAAGACAGATAAAAAAATCAATAGACACTCTATGAGCCTCCATGACCTTTTAAAACATATAGGATCATGTTTATCATATATGAATTCACGTATTTTCCATATGACAAATAACATACATACACACACACTCATACAAAACTAATCTGTACAAATTACCTATAGAAGTGTGAACACGATAACAACTTGACATTAGTCATTACAAATATATATGATGATTGCTTACATATTTTCTATTGGTAAAAATGACCATGGACAAATGACATTCAAATAAACTGACTTTAATGTATGTTAAATTTTTGACTATATATTTTGGTGATTAATAAAAATCCGAATAAATCTGCTGAAGAAGCTGTGGCTTACACAGCGAAACGTTCAGAAAAATCTTGTTTTGATTTTCTTAACACGCTGGGATTAATTTAAATAATTTATAATGAATCAATCTGACTCGGCGCTCAAATTTTTTCAGGAAGTTCGTAACACCTACGGCCTGGAAACCTAGAATAGTCCATATATCTTGCTTGAATATTAGCAAGCACGAAACCTAGGTCAGCCATCACTTTCTGTTCAATGTGATTAACATAACATGTAACCAAAAGTATGAAATTACACTAAAATGTAATGCTGTTATGTAACGCTTTACTTAGTGACTACATTGCATCATGTGTTTGAACGACATGTTCCGATTCAAGCACACATGACTACACAGCTACATCCAGATGGTCGTCCGATGACCGATCAGTATAAATGCTCTAATCCTAACCAATGAAACAAACTGATAGCCTTAATTGTTTTGTGTATCCATTAGCAATGCTTTTATATGGTGATGTAAACACAGGTGAAAGATATCACAGTTTAAATAATTACATGTCCTATGATTATTGTATTTTAAGTGAATATGATGTTTAAACAGATTTATTTTCCCAGTGTTGTTGTGTTGTTAGAATCCAGTTATCCGGTAATACCGGGTCATCGATACTACATTCCTGCATACAGGTACAGGTTGATGAATGTGGCGAGATAAACGAAATCGGGACCTATTGGCAACAAGTTGAGTGACTGAGCTAATGTAGCATTCCTCCGTAAAGGAAGGGGGAAAGAAGGATAACTGTACACCCATCGCATTACGCTTATGTGGGTTTCTTAGTTTCGCCTCCATCAGTTTGTTATTGAACAGTCACCTAATATGAAGACTATAGTTTCAATAATTGTAGTCGTAAAGTCTAGAGATTTAATCACTGCTTTTAGAATATAACAAGGATATGACTCGTTGGCTTAAGCACTTTTGATTTATAGGCTGCAGGTTCGAATCGCTCTCCTCCTTGTTCAACCTGAATGCACCTAGATAGTATTGTAACAGCAGAAGGCAAGACACGGGAGCCAAGGTATATTTTCAAGTGATCGAACCGCTATTTATATGTATGCAGTTTTATATTCTCTACCCAATCATTGAGCGTGTGATTTTGGCTTACATTAAACGGCATGAATTATAATGTTCAAATGCATAGTATTCTGCTGCTAACACAGCATTGAACTGTGGGAATATGTGAGAATAATATTCCATTGGAACACATTGTCTGTATCACACCACTGCAGTAGCATAAGGCATTCAAAAACAAGTGGGGCTCATAGCTGCCTATCTGGTAATTAAATTCTGATTAACTGAGAACCTAAGGAGTTATTGGATAGCCTATTTTAGCTTAGCATCACAAATCCATGCTCTCATCGGACATCGATTTCGTGACCCATAGCGAACGCCTTATTCAGTCATTGGTTTGGCGTTCTGTGATTCATGTTTTCGAATTATGATTTTTAATTTTATGTATATAATTAACAGACTGAGTTTATTATTATTATTATTATTATTATTATTATTATTATTATTATTATTATTATTATTATTATTAGCATCTAATATTTCACTTAAGGTTTTAAGATTCACTCAAAATCCGTTTCTTTTACAGGAAATCTGAAAAATTGACACAAATAAATCATGATCTAAGACTGCCTAATGGACATAATAACATTCCTCCTGAATTGTGTGATTCAGTAACTCGTAAGTGTGTTAATTAAAACTATTTTATTATCAAAAGGCTAGAAATATTAGATCACTACAAAGTAACTAATGTCATGTGTGTATTGATGTCGATACTGAATTCTATAAGTTAAAGGTTTGCGATATAGTAGTCATCTGGCTAAATGAATCACTCTCACGATGTACTTTGATTGCTTGGAGTCAGTTACTTAGATGCCCTGGACCAAGTTTTTGTGCTTCCTGGCATTCCTCAGGACAGTGCATATGCAACCTCAAGGAAACTAATTTCTCCACCTCCTCTAGAACTATAATGGATACATTGGTTGGATGGTAGTGAGTAATCAATATTGTACTTAGTCTTCAGTGCTATCCAAATGTGGTAACAAACTTAGGTGACTAGGCATTGCAGTGCCCTGTGAATTGATTTTAGACGTATTGTGGGCTCAAGGCTTTCTGTCGATCTGTCTCTGTCTGGATTCAACATAGAACTTGGTACCGAAGTGCAGCAGTTCCAGTTGCCACCTTCCAAATAGCACACAAAGGTAGACAAGAAGATGAGTGAAGAGAATCAATAGAGTTTTGACAAGTATAAGAGTGAAACAGAATGAGTAATGGTAGAAAGGAATATGAAAGATTACAGAGACTGAATACATCTGCGCCACTGACAACGACTTTGAGCCATGTCACATATTGTCTCCAGTCATTGATTCTTAGAGTCCCGAGGGCCCCAACCCGGAAGTATGCATCTCCCTACCTGACTCAGTTTAATTGTCAAGGATTTCATGGATTGATGAGGCCATGTTTTTGTTTGGCCAACACTTACTCTTTTCCAACCTGCACCTATATCAGCTAGTAAAGCCCATCGGGAGGGGGAGGCGATGGTTAGGCATGCGCAGCACGTGACCTAGCCATCTCAATCTATGTAACTTTATAGCCTCGTCGATTGATTTTCCCTCTTTGCCCAACACTACGCCTAACGTCAACATTACTTACCTTATTATACCACCTAACGCGAGAAAGAGATCGTAAACATCTGTGGTCAAAAACAGACAATCTCTTCATGTCTTCCGCTCTCAATGGCCACGTCTCACCGCCATAGAGAAGGAGGGAGCGAACTGCTGAGCAGTATACACGTCCCTTGGTTGACAGCCGGATGTCACACCTACGCCAGAGACGGTGTAAGTTAGTGAAAGCAGCTCGAGCTTTTTGGATCCGATAGCCTTCAACCGTGTAATACCATAGTCCGTTGTATTGTAAAACTTCATAAAATATTGCTCCACTTATTGTGTTTATCCTTCAGAATAAGTAATTAATTAGCAACAAGGTAACAATGATTAATTTTCGGTTGGTCTATGATAATGTGAACTACGTAAAAAATTTGCCACTTATTAGCCAAGTAAGCTGGTTGATAATAGTAATAATAAGTATTAATGGTGAGCAATCTTACTTGTTTTATCTCGGTAAAGCGTTTGAATTTAACTTCGTCTGAAAAAAAGCCTATGAAATTATGCTCTCTTGCCCAGATTGATTCAATGAGAACAAAATGTAATACCAGTAACCCGTTGCAATAAAGTTTATAAAAGTCTTTATCGGTCTCTTTCTCTCAACATATGCATTACTTTGGAGTTACACTGTGTGCGGTTTATTGGTGACACTTGATACCTGGTCGATAGACTTCGACCACCGGTTAGAATTAAATGGCTACATTAATTAATAGTTCTATTATTTCACCGATTTCATCATCGGTAGTAAAGTGGAGCTGTTGCCCTGTGATCTAGACGTTCAACTTCTAGGCACTGATTTATGGGTTCAAGCCATGTCCCACTTACTGAGGTTTCAGTAATTACACACACATTAGGTGTGGCTTATTGCCAACTTCATGAAATTGCAAGCGGTTCTTTCATTTCCTTATGTATGTGCACTATTAGTTTATGTTGAATATTATCTATCACTAATGCATTTTTCTACTTATTCAATTCATATAAACATACATATATAGCCATTTCTGATGGAGAGACCAATACTATTAATAGTGGCGCACCACTACCTGTTACACAAGATGCTGGTACATTAACCGACTGTATACCGTCGATATCTTCATCATCAACACAACCATGTTGTTCAGATTGTTGTAAACAAAAACAGTTTTTAGAGAAGATGTTTTTATACTTTGATTTATGTCTAGAAGAGCAGTCTATGCTCATTGAACTACAATCAAAAAGTATGCTATCTCTGGTAAACGAAGTAAGTTACATTGATTGATTCACGTGTAAATACTGAACTGAATTACCCGGAACATATCCTCCCCCTACCAATTCCCAGGTTATGAAGTCACACTTAGTGTGAGATGACTGATGGATGATACTATTCACTTGTCCCTTCACTCCCCCAGGTTAAAGTAGGCAAAGTGTTATTTGAAGCCGGGACTCATTGTCTGAATGTCAAGTGTTGCAGCCAGTGAAAAATATCTGCAAATGACTTACTTAGTCAAACCATATTGGGGGGTGAGTTCTTAGTGGAACATTAGGCTTAAAAGGCACATGTCTATTCCGTTTTATCCTCTGACATAACTTTCAACTCACCCCATGACTGTCCACCAGCTTTTCCTTCTTTTCCCATGATCTCCACTCCTCACTCAGACGCTCAACTTGTTTGCAAACTTTTTGAGTTCCAATCTAGGACTAGGTGTGTCCTGTCACTTGATCGTCCCTTCAGCGTATATATGTCTAGTCCATCTCCATTTCCTCCCGCATATTTTTTGAGTAATAAATAGATTGATGGCTGTTTCGTTACTTGTCCGAATTCCTTTGTGGATAGCAGATATCTTTATGGACGGCTGGGAAAATATTGCTCTTAATACATTTAATCCTGCTCCAACAATATGGTAGAGATATGTGGATGACATTTTCACAGAGTTAAAAACAGAATATATCTCTAGCTTCTTGATACATACATATAAACTCACTAGTAAAGGGAATAAAATTCACATTTTAATCGGAAAATGAACAAAGAGAATTAGCTATGTTAGACTGTAAAATAAAATGAACAAAAGAAGGTAAACTTCACACTAGTATTTATAAAAAACCAACGCGTTCTAATAGATATTTAGACCTTAATTCATCTCATCCGTTATCTATCTGTCTGGGCAGGCTTAGTTAAGTGTCTAACAAACCCAGCAGTTGAACTAACACGTAGATACATACAACCACACAATAGGGTGGTAAAGGGCTCAAATTCTAACAAATAATACAGATAAGTGGAGAGAGAGGCTGATTATTGCATCTTTGTTTATAGAGTCTACACCCAACACGTGCAATAGGAACAACTCATCACTAACACCAGAGATGTGGAAAAAAACTACTATCAATCAAATCAAGCGATGAAAAATAATGGAATTATATAAACGAAGTTAGAAAGTTGTGTGAGTAACTTAACTTGATATGATTATGAGCGGCAATAAATTGTGCTCGAAACATCATCAGTAAATATTACTGTATAACAGTGTGAGACTTTATCAAAATAAATTGTACCCATAGTGGAATTATACTCTACCACAGTGCACAAGTTCTGTTCTTATATCAACTTTTCAGATTCTGTAGTAGCCTGTTGGAAAATCTTTTGATGAAGCGTGTACCTTGTCTCTGAACCATATAGAAGGATCATAAGCTTCCCGAATGAATGCTGTAGAAAATATCATATAAAATCCGTTTTGGGTGCACTCATCGTTTCTTGTTTTACTATCTAACTTATTAAATCTATTTCTTTATATCTGTTGTTAGTAATTCATTTATTCAAGCATTCGCATTTTCTCAAATGGTCTAAGGTTGACCCTCTAGAACCAATGACATTTAGGGAACGTCACTCAAGGTCATTCCATATCAAATCATACCTGTGTTTATGGATTTGGTGAGGATAGGTATAGTATTCTACTCACTCCTTAGGTACTTTTTTCGGCAAATCTATACTGTTAGGTAGGGTTAGGGTTAAGGTTTTTAGCATTAGTCAGGCGTAGGGGTAGGTTCAAGAACAGTGTCAGGAATGTCAATGGATCTTGAGGTACGATGATCTGCAGTCACCTGGATGAATACATCTATCGCGCATAGTACAGTTTCTCTGCAGATTATTCTTGTAGTAACTGTAATACATTTGTTCAAGACTTCAGAGACAATTATCTAGTGTAATATCATGTTTGCGATGTTCTTTTATTACACTTTTTTCGTATCTGAATCCTGATTGGTTGGTCAGAGTCACGTAGATTTTAACCACGATGGTTTAACTCCGCCTCTCTAACTTTGTTTTGTTTTGTGTGTTTATTTGCACAAATAAATATGCACTGCATCATCTTCAATGTGATATTATTGCATTCTTGTGCTAGAAATTTTGTCCACCGTCTCAAGCTGCTACCTCAACGTAGTGGTCGGGACTGCGTATCCCAATAACCCAACTAGCTACACTGGGTTTAAATAAATGTCCCTACGATCTCAGAAAGTTTTTTTGGATGATGGTTAAACTGAAAGCAATTATAATCACAATTACGCCGTTTATACTATATGTTGGGTGGCTTGAGGGCGAAGTCGTACTGCTGGCGAATAGGGATGCAACAGCAGTAAGGTATTTCCCTCGGGTGACCAGTGAGCTAGCTATCCTGCCTTCTCGGCTCTGGAGATGGGGGAGAAGTTAGAAAAGGTCTTTTCCAGAAACTTCGCATCCCGACTTTCTTTGCGGCGGTTCATGTCAGACAGCAAGATCTTCATATATGAACACAGCTCTAAAAACCACTTCAACCAGGTCGCGTCAATCAGTTGCCCATCTAGCCATTGACGTCGTGAAAAACTAATTCAGCTTCTATTTCAGGTACTCCTTGAAGTAATCAACTCCTAAGGTGTTAGCACATAATGCTTTTGTGTGCTACGTGGAGTTTGGCGACTGAAACTGGTGCACTTCTGTGCTGCAAAGTTCTATGTTGAAACTCACTCAGGCAGTCAGCTTAATCACTCGATTTCTAACCAACTGTTTCGAATCCCGTTCCGTCTACTCTAGCCTGGTGAGCCATTGAGTTATATTGTCAGTCCTCATACAGTAAATATCTGTGTGTCGGTTTGGCCTTTACTCTGGAATCTGAAAAGAAATCTGTTATAGGCAATTAGATTTAAATTTTATCTTTATATCTCTAATACTGTAATCATTTGTCTATATACCTACTGATGATGCATATTATTATTATTTCAGGTTTGTGAATTAAAATCTTGGAAAGAGTCAGTTATGGGAACAATATCAGCATTTATTCATCAATCAGCTAACTTTCCTCCTAATTCCGGTCAAACTGATAATGATAATTGTACTAGTCAAAACCCTTTAACTTATCAGTCATCAGATGAATGCTCATCGAATACGCTGATGAATTGTGCTGTTTCCTCCACAACCACACCAATTGAAGAGAATGGAGAAGCAGGAAATACTGAAGGAATTATCACAAATGATATTGAAAGTGATCTACAGAGCCATGCACACATAGATACACATGAAGAAAATCACATTATAAGTAATTATTCCAGGTATGCGGTGTTTTCATTTATAACTTGTGATTTTCATAAGAAGTGCTCAACTTCCCAGAAGTTACTATTGATTGTGTTTTTTTAATAGAATTGTGGCTTTTTTATTTGTTACGTTTCGAGAGGAACATAGGGTTTCTTTACACGGGGTACGGTTTCTAGCCTCATGTTCAGTCTTCCCTCTTTTCTTGACTTACTACTAACTAGTAGTCTAGGCGATGTGCTGCTAGTTGTGTGTCAACCGGGATTCGAACTTGGGTCCTCATAGTGGTTGGTGAGCATTCCACCACAGGACCATTATGGGTTATGCTTCAACATTTTTATCCTTAACTATAGGATAATACTGTCATCTTCGAAAAAAGGGGGTCAAGTTCACTTATTTATTTCACGTTAAATCATGAAGTGGTGACATCAGTTAGAGAACCACTTGAAACCAGGAAGTACTGAACAGCAGCTCTTTCGTCATGGTTGAGAAATTGTCATCAGTACATACCCATGATCTCAATGGGGGGATCACACCCAGACGATTCAGGTCATGAAGAAAGCGCGTCGACTATTCACTCACTGGAACACAATCCAATGGTGCATTTATTTTTGAACATCTGTCCATTCACCGTGTATAGCGCCACTAACAGTCTATGCCATTCGAAAGTATCTGTTCACACACCCATTGAACTTTGTGGATCACATTGGTCGTGACTACTCAATACTATTGTAACAACAGAAGACAATGGTCAGGCAACAGATCGTTTATTAAGGAAAATCAACACATTTATAGATTTTAATGTACATTATTGTAGATTATTGTTAGTAGAAAATACAGTCTCTTGATTGGTTGTTTCTCACAGAAAGTTAACCTTGCATCTCTTTGTGTCTGTGTCTGATCATCCACATGCTAACTGTATCCACCTACGCAAAGCCTTCCCGACCGATAACTGCTACCTTGCCGTGGTGGTCGGGCTTGAATGCCGCAGTGACCCAACAAGCTAAACTGGCTGGGACTCATGTCCCTGCAGGTCCTACCATGTCAGGAAGGTTGTTTGGATAGCGGTTAGACTGAAAGCAGTTACCATGGAGTACATGGGCTTCAGAATTCAATCGGATCAAATGGCGTACGAACCCATATGGGTCAGCGGCAACCATGGGAACGCAGCTTCTGACGCTGCTCCGCTGCCTTGCGGATTAGACTCCAAGTCAAAGGCTCGGGGGGTGGTCCCTTAGGAAAACCACCTACTTTGGTTTGGGCGCCCGGGCAGTATCTCAGCCCTCACACAATATTGTGTGGCGCATCTTTCTTGGTGCCATATTGTACCAAGTTTTTCTGCGTTTAAATAAAATAAAATGAATAACGCAAAGCCTTTGTTCTCATTTTCTCACCACCAATATTGGGGACATAAACATTGACGTCAATTACTGTCTACCAACTTTGGCTAGCAGCCAGCTCTCACCACACTATAATCAATCATTATTGTCCAGTAGATTTATTTCCATGGATCACTGAATTTCATCCTAGTAGTTGAATCGTTAGTCATCTCTTTAGGTAACCTTGTGGTCTTGGGTTCAGCCACCGGTGTGGATATTGATGTGTACTCCTGAAGAATCACAATCTAGGACAATACACCTATTGGGTACACTCTGGTTTTCAGTGATACATTAACTGACACGTCAGTGCATAAATGAAATCCAACTTGGAATTTCCATATTTCTTTTCGTAATAAGCAGTTGCGTAATTATATATATATATATATATATATATATATATATATATGGTTTAAATTATTTTGTTTGTTTGTGTCGATATATGTACATATATAGATCTATTGATAATAACGCTGCAAATGACCAACTTCCAAATGAAATTCGCAAGTCACAACAAAGAGTTTCAACCATAAATAATAGTACTACAGAATGCTCAGAGATATCAGAATTACAACATACTCTACGCGTTAATCATAATAATGATAATGATAATAATAATAATAATAATAACAGAATAAATAATGAAAGGAGTAATTCATCTTCTAATGATGATCACAATAATAATTTTTATCATAATAACACATCCACAGAATGCATAATATCAATGCATACTTCCAATGCAATAGAGACTAATCGTCAAGGTAGTGGTAGTCGTAGTGATGTTCAATACAGTAATGCTACAAATAGTCCTGTTGATGTAGAAGATTCTCCTAATGATGATGATGATGAAGATAATAATAATATAGAACATGTAAGACAAGTTCTCATACAGGTATGTTGTGTTTATATTCCTTTGTCTTTGCTTTTTTCTATCTATTTAGTCTTTGTTTTGGAATCACTTTATGAAATCACCAAAGAGGAATGATATTTGAAGAGATTTTATTATTCTATTCAACTAACTAATTAGCTAATTAATCTTATTTTTGGGTTCAATCTTTGAAGCTTCCTCCCCGCACACACACACGCTACACTCCCTCCCCCAAAGTCATGAGGGATGAAATATTTGTCTGATGCTCTTTGGTTTTTTAATGAGCCATCTGGACATTAGGAAGAAAAGAATATGTGGCTTAGCAAAGACATTTGTCTTTGACTAATTTCATCCTCAAAAGCTGCACAGTCGCATTTTTATGCGAAAGGTCACATAGTTACAATTATTATTTAATTCAACATGGTAACAAAGGGAGATTAAAGGAGATGGAAATTTTCAACTAGATGTGATAGATTGAAGATGTGAATCTATTTCACAAGGGGCATAGAAACAAGACTATATAGAATCAATCTATATTCACACCATTAAACTTTCATGTGAAGTTGAAAATTATTATTCCGTTTACTCTTCCTTCGTTGCTATGTAAGTTATATAATAATTGTAACCATGTAAACTTTTGTATAACAACGTGATTGCAAAGAAGTTGTCGAATAGGTATCCTCGCTGAGCATCTTGTGCCCCTTTTTTCCTCTTATGTATGTTGGTTCGTGATGAAATCTACATCAGACGGGGAGTGTAACTTTAGAAATAGCGAAAATGTGGCTTTCAACTAATTAACCCTTGGTTTGAATTCTGGTCCACTTAATTCAGCATGGTCAACATGGTAGCACTGTCATCAGTCCTCGTGCAATAATTGTGGCTTATAGTGCGCGGTACATAAAAGATCCAATCCGGGTGGCTGGGTTCAAATAAGCAAACCTAATAATAGAGCTCAATTTAAATGAGGAAAAAATCATGATTTTATCATTTGTAACCGCGAAACTTCAATAGTGGATGTGTACAGTTCTCATTCTTCCTTCCTATTTGTCGTAAAGCTACTAGGATTTTCCTGTCTGTCTGTTTTCAACATAGAAATTTGCACCGATGTGCAGCAGTTCAAGTCGCCACACTTCACTCAGCACACAAAGCAAGAGAAGAAAGTAAAAAGAAACACAAAATATTGACAGTAGACAAGGATATGAGACAAAAGGAACAGTAATAACGATAGTTTCTTTGGGTATTATAAGTCACAAGGAGTGGATGCATCTGCGCCACTGAGAACGATTTTGAGCCATGTCACCAATTGTTTCCGTCCTGAGGACCCCAACCAGGAAGTCTACACCTTCCTACGTGGCTTAAACTAACTGTTGTGGATTTCGTTGACTGGTGCCATGTTTTGGTTCGACCGCCTCTACCTCTTTTCCAGCCTGACCCTTTGTCAGTTAACACTGCCCATCGAGGAAGGCGATGACTAGGCATACGTAACACATGTCCTAACCATCTCAATCGATGTAATTTCACAGCCTCGTCTAGTGATTTCCCTTTCTTACCTAGGAGTCGACGCCTAACCTCAATATTACTCACCTTATTACATCACTTAACACAGGAGATAGAACGCAGACACCTACGCCATTGACGACGTGAACTGGCATATGCGAAACGAGCCTTCTGTATCCGTGGTGAGATGTTGTCGGCGATCAAACCTTTGGCACTGGCTGATGCAGCTTCCCAAATAAGTGAAGTGGTCAACACACCCCGCCAACCACTTCATCCCTATTTCCATGCTAAGAGTCAGTGTAATCCAGTCCTGTAACACGATCTTACATTTGGCGGGAGCGAATCGCATGCCAGACATTCGTAAATTGCAGCTCAAGGTGTTCAGAAGACTCTGCTCTATTTTGTCAGCGTCTTCGCCTCACCTAGAAGGACTATATCATCTACATATTCCAAGTCAACGAGATTATTCCATGATGGTAACAAGTCAATCCCTGGATGAGTTCGAGTAGAGTGCCTTGATCAGTGCAATATATTTTCTCGGCATTCCCTTTACAGCCAAACATCGCCAGAGTACCTCTCGGTCGACAGAATCGAATGCCGCCTTTAGGTCAAGAAATATAATGATTGTCGGACGCCGGTAGGAATGCCTATGTTCTAGAATCTGTCGAAGGGTGAAGATATGATCAATAAACCCTCTTCCTGGTCTAAATCTTGTCTGGTTCTCTCGTGTTTGTGCCTCCCGAGCACCACTTAGTCTACGCATTATTATTGAGCCTAGAACTTTAGATACCATATTGGTAAAGCTAATTCCCCTGTGATTATCACAGTGGGATTTGTCTCCGTTTTCGTATATGGGAATAATCAATGATTTGAAGCTATTAGTTCCCTTTATGAATTTCGACAACACAATAAGAAGACGTAGTTTATCTGAAACGTGTAATGTATTGGCGCAACACATTTCGGACATTCTGATCACACACGTACTTGTCATACACAGTTTTATAGAATCCAAGATGGCATGAATAATTACAATACAGGTCAGATTGTATACAGGTCAAGGTCACAAATAATGGGTAGGGAGACACAAAAGGTGTGGGTAAGAAAGATAAAAGGAGAAAAAACAAGGCAAAGAAGGGGTTGAAAATATTAGGAAGTAAATTGGTCCTTGGTTCTAAATTGGATTACCAAGGCAGGTTTAAGGTGATAACAAATCATTTTTGGACACATAAGACAGGCTTAAGTCTTTTTATGGCTAAGGCTTCAATGAATTTAAGTATGTGGCCCAACCTTGTTTTATGTATCGGCTTAAAGGCATTGTTGAAATCAACCGTCTCTATGATATGCTTGGCTATAGATGATGTTGGACATCTATTTCCGGGTTCAATTGTGTCTGGTGATTTCATTTTTTGTGTGTATGACAAGTACGTGTGTGATCAGAATGTCCGAAATGTTTTGCGCCAATACATTACACGTTTCAGATAAACTACGTCTTCTTATTGTGTTGTCGAAATAATCAATGACTTACACCAACCCGACGGGACTACCTCTGACTCCCAGACGCTGCCTAGTACTTTAGTTAACGCAGACAGTGAACTGTCTCCACCATAATTAAATATCTCTGGAGTCATTCCATCAGGTCCTGCTGCTTTGCTTCGTTTCAGACAAGTGGCAGCCTTAGGAACGGAGGACCTGTGTCTATATCCCATTGAGGGAGGTGTTTGAATGTTCGGTAAGTTGAGTGCGGTTGGAAGTTTCCAGATGTCTATAACGGGTGTTGAAACATTCTTTTTGCATGTATTCCTAATTGATTCGACAAATGAAAAACTTCAGTTCTTGGAATTCTTTAATAAATGAAAAGTGTCATGTTGGATTATAAACAAAGGCAGACATCACAAAGAAGAAAATTTCCTTTTTGTCTAGTCATTTTCAATTATAAATATGTTTAACGGTAGGAAAATGATAAAAGTTCTGTGGCACTATTATTATTCCCTTGGGTTCCGAGTGGAACGTACGGTTTCAACAACACATCTCCAGTTCGTTTTATTTTCTTCTGTCCTCTTCAGCTAGGTCCATGATTGGCCATATTCTCTCATCTCCTCCTCGTACCGACGACCCACTCGTCGTTTCCCATTAGGATTCCACTCGAGCAATGGCCTGCATTGCGCGCGATGTCATTCGACAGCCTCCTCAATGTATGCTCGATCTATCTCTGTTTTTCTCCTACATATTTGTTAGCCATCGACTCTTGGATGGTTTGTTACCAGAGTTTCTTGTTGCTAATGCATTCTGGCCGGCCATGTGATCTTCAGGATACAGTCACCAAAGGTAGCTGTGGATAAAAGTCTGCAGTAACCTTAATATATGTGAAAAACTTGGGCACTGTGGTAGTAAGTAATTCCATATTAGTTTGTTTATTAGATATATCACACAGTGAAACAGTATTATTTACTGGATGACGTTTCGAACAAAATTTATTGTTCATAATCACACCAATTGTAATCACACGACTTTGACACTTGAGTTTTATTGTTTTCTTTGTTTTCTCCTATTTGTCGTCGTTGGGGTAGTAGAATTTTCCAGATATCGGGGACAGGTGATGAATCATTCCTATTACATGTATTTGCAGTTGATTCGATAAACAAAGCTTCTGTTATCAATCTCTCCCTATACCCTGTGACATTAGATTTTAAAACTGTCATCCTATCCCATCCTATTGTATGGTTGCGTGTAACTGCATGTAGTGCTATAGCTGAACTATTCCATACAAGGAAGGAACCTCGGAAGCCTTACTCAGAATTCCTAACAAGGCAAGAATAAAAATGGCATTCAAACCCACAAACTCAATTAGAAACAAGCTTTGTCGGTTAAAGAATCAATCCTGTGGAGCCTTTAAAACAAAACAATTTAGTTTATCTAATACCCTACCTGCAATGATTGTCAGGTCAAATACATAGGTCAAACTAGTAGAACAGGGGCAGTCAGACTAGCCGAACATAAAAACCTAGCAGCAAAATCTAGATTGGTTGACCCGAATAAGATAAGAAATCTAGAGAATAGTTCAGCTATAGCACTACATGCAGTCACACACAACCATACAATAGGATGGGATAGGATGACAGTTTTAAAATCTAATGTCACAGGGTATAGGGAGAGATTGATTACAGAAGCTTTGTTTATCGAATCAACTACAAATACATGTAATAGGAATGATTCATCACCTGTCCCCGATATCTGGAAAATTCTACTACCCCAACGACGACAAATAGGAGAAAACAAAGAAAACAATAAAACTCAAGTGTCAAAGTCGTGTGATTACAATTGGTGTGATTATGAACAATAAATTTTGTTCGAAACGTCATCCAGTAAATAATACTGTTTCACTGTGTGATATATCTAATAAACAAACTAATATGGAATCTGCAGTAACCTGTTGAAAATGCTTTCCGTGACGCGCACAGCAAGTTTATGGCCCATATAGAATAACTGACTGACTTCACACTAGTGTTGAAAATCCCAGTCTTGTTCGT